CAGTGCTTCAGCAGCTGAGATGTACCCTTGTTTTGTCTGGAAAAAAAAATAGAGCAGCAGTGAGGAAAACAGCTGAAAGAACTTTCCATCAGAGTTAATGGAGTCATTGAACAAGAAATCTGGCAAGACAAAGAAAGGAACAGTGAGAGGCCTGAATAGTGTGAAGAGAGGGTAAAAAGTTAGGGAACTGTGTGAAATGCTGAAATTCTTGCTCTTGGTAACAAACATCCCACTAAAAAAATTAAAATATATGATTCTGCACTGGAGAAATAACTCATAGTTCCAGGTTATATCTGTAATTAAAGAAGAAGGAATATGACATTTAAGCTAAGAATCAGATATTTAGAAAAGAATATATTGAACATTCTGCACTATGATTCCAGGCATTGACTGGGCTCAGAGCTTTACTAGCTGAGGTAGGTCCATCTCCTCATGCTGAGAGAAAAACAGCCATGGGACAGGGTAAGTGTTCACACCTGAGCAGAGTTCTTACAGCAGCATTTTCTGAGGGTTCGCTGAGCAGAAAGAGGGAAAAGAGGATCTGACCTTTTTCCTGCTGGACTGCAAAGGTTGTTTCCTGCGCTGTCAGAACATCGCATCTGATGTTGCATCTGTGCTGGTGTTTTGAGAAGGACTGTTATTCTGGTGGATGCTGGAAAATAGATTAAATTCTTCTGGAAGCTGTAGATATTTTCTGTAGGAATGAAGTACTGGAAAAGAGGTTTGGATTTTTGGATTTGTTTCTCTTTTTTTATTATTTTTTTTAATTTTTTTTTTTTTTTTTTTTTTTTTTTCTTTTGTCCTCCCTGAATTTCCTTCCAGGTAGTCCTCATGACTAGCTTCTCATGTGATTTGTCAATTCTTTCTTTATGCTGAGGAGAGGAGAAATTGGGGGTTTCCAAGCCTTAGTTCCACAAATCATTTAAGTACTCATTTAAATGCTTCTTTGTTTAGGCACAGAATTGAAACACCTATTTTCATCCTGTAAGTACATGCTTAAGTTTACAGCAAACAAGATGGATAGGTGAATAACAACCTCAGGACTGGATCTGAACCCTGTGGAAACCCAGTGGAAAATCTCACACTGGCACCAGTAAATCTCTCAGATTAGAGCCTCCCTTGCTGAGTTTTGCAGTAAATAGTCCAAGTGTATTTTTGTAGGAAAGTAAAGTGCAGGGGGGAGAGGGTGGGATGACAGGAAGCCGTGTCAGGTCCTGCTGGCCTCCCACACCTGTATTCACTCCTCCGAGCTGCAGCCCTTGGGAGAAACCCTGCAATAACAAATACACCTGTGCAAACACCCTTGGTCTCATGTCTTCTTGGGGTTACTGTAGCAATAGCAATGTAGCATAAAAGAAAATACCAAGCTAAGCTCCGTGGGAGCATGTTCTGCCGGGTTTCAGTGAGGTAAACATTAATGGTAGTGATATCTTTTGGCTTTGGGTGAATTTTTATTACTGTACCATAGGAACCTGAAGAATCAGCTGCTGAAATTAATAAGAAGTAAGATAGCATAAAGTGATCTTGAAACCTAATTTTCTTGATTTCCAACTTTTATATTATAAATCTTATTCAGCAGTGTTCTTACATCCTTTAGTCTTGAAACTCTAGGTCTTTCTGGAGCTTCTGTAACCTGTGCTTTAGACTTTCTGGTCCATTCAAAGGGACTTAAATCCAGTGCACAGGTATCTCTAGATGATCTCCAGCCCCATCTCTACATTGTTTATTTCCCCTGTATTCCTTCCATACATAGGTTATGAGTAGGGAATTTCTTACAACTTGCTAACATCACCTAGAATTTGCACTAGTGAATCTACATCTTCTTATTCATCTTCTTCATTAGTTTGAGCATAGATGAAGTACTGCCTGCCTGGAGAATTCCCTGAGAGGACCAGGGTAGAGGAGTTTGTTCTTGCTTCACTTTAGCAGCCTATAAATATCAAGGAGCAGTTCCTTTGGGGACAGTATTTTCTGTGCTTGGTGACAATTCAGACAGCTGGGACAGAACTGGCAAAGCCTTTGCATACTCATATTTTTCTGCATAGGTTCCAATCCATTTTCAGGCTCAGATAATTCCAAACCACCTGAAATGGGTTTCAAACCAGGGCCAAAAAATGTAAATTATCCAGTGCAGGCAGACACATTCAGTGAAGTATGAGGGTTGAACTATGTGAGAAAGATTTCTTTGTGGATAGTTAAGACTTGAAAAGAAAGTCCAATAACAAGAAAAGAGTTACGCAAAAGGTACCAAGCCAGATGATGTTACTTGAATGTCTTTTAATTCTATTAAAAAGTTTCCTTAATTGCTTTTTAACCAAATGCTCCTGTAATCTGTTTGCTTTTATCAGATGCCTCCCAGTCTTCCTGTAAAGGCTGGAAATCTGAGTAACAACTTGATGTGTGGCCCTGAGTGAGAAAAGTATATATTTCTCCAAGGAGCTACAACAAAGAAGATTTAAACCCAGCACTGCCTCTTGGTCTGTGCTGACCTGTCTGCTTCCAGGGCTCGGTGGTTCACTCAAAACTTCAGCTGCAGGACATTGATTTCATTCTGCTTTCCTGAAAGCCTCCGGGGCTCGGTGCAAACACAGATTTCTCCAAGCTTAATTGTGATACTTTGCTTCAACCTCCTGTAGCAAATGGACAGCAATTTACAACACTCACAGAGCTCCAGTTTCCTTGATGAGGGGATGAGTTGTTCATCAAGAAGTGCACAAAGAATTAGAATTTTCTGCCTCACCCTTATTCCTGCTAGTGAGGCCAGGATTGAGGCAGTAGTCAGCAAATTGCTGTGAGGCCAGGATTGAGTCAGTAGACAGCAAATAACTTGCAGGATGTTTTTCTGGGATCTGTTTTTCTGCCTGGAGCACTAAAACCACAGTAAGAACTAAACTGCTCTTATACCCAACAGCTGATAAAAAGTCCTGAAATGAAACTTCCTCCTTACATTAAATAGTGTTTGTGAGAAGTGTCAGCAGATCTATTTGAGGTTGTGAAGAGGATCAGTATTGAGTTGAAGGCATTCCATTTCCACTTCTGGCTCTGGCCATACTAAAACCTAAACCTTTACCTATATAAAAGCATGTCACAGTTATATAAGCACCATTAATGGGGATTGCTGTGGTGCTATTTTCACCACTTGAGGCGATTCTTAAACCTGTACAGTGAGAGTTTGGGGATAGAGCTTTACGGTTTGGTTTTGTTGTTATTTTGTCTGCTCTTAGCAGCGGCTTGTCAGCAGATCCAGTGACATACTGGCTATTTGTACGTGGCAAAACAAGAGGTGCCAGCGAGGGCTTCCCAGCACTGGTGCTTTGGGCACATTTCATTTATTAGTGGGAAAGTACCAGCCCTGCTGTCTTCCCCCGGCCCGGGTGGCCTGATGCTCCCGTGTCCTGTTGGGTTTGTTTTTCTTTCGCCAGGTTGCCGGGTTTTGGCATCACGGCATTTTCCCTCATTCCTGGACGGTTTTAGGAGGGGATCACGTCAACAGAAAGCAGCTGGAAGGTGGCTGCAGGTGGTCGTGGCTCCTGCGCTGGGTGGGGATGCCATGGGCGATGGGATGGCTCGGATGCCTCGGGGTCCCAGGGCAGGCTGGGTGCAGGCAACCCCAAATCCACGCTCTGCTGCGAGGCTCGGGGCTGCGTTTTATTATCGCTTGCTGACATCTGCTGGCAGCGACACGAACTAGTTCGGAGGGACACGAGCGTCATTTGGAGCAAGCTCCTTGCTCCGAAGCGTTTAAGCGACTTTGGGAGAGCCGGGAAATGGGGGGATTGCAGGCAGACTGTGATGCTCGCTTGGCCCTGCTGGGTCCATTTAAAGCTATCCCTTTCCTATGTTTGCAGAGGGAAACTGTAATGGGCTGTCCTGCTTAGGAAGGAGTGTGTGGCTTGTCCATCCATCCATCCATCCATCCATCCATCCATCCATCCATCCATCCATCCATCCCCCTTTGCCTTCAACAATTTCACTCAAGATATCAGGCATGTAAATAACATGCTCAAGGCCAAAGGGTGAATTAATGACAGAATAAAACTCCAGTTGTTATTCAACCACATACCTTTAAGGGCCTTCTTAAGCACCAGAAAATGAAGGCTGGAGTGGTCCCTGGCTGTTGCAGGAGTTGTTATGGTGGTCCCCATTGTCTGGATGAATCAACTGAAATGAAGAATTGCAAATCATAGAACCACAGAATGGATTGAGTTTGAAGGCACCTTAAAGACCATCCAGTTCCAACCCCCCTGACATGGGCAGGGTCACCTCCCACTAGATCAGGTTGCTCAGAGCTCCATCCA